AAACTCTATCGATCCATCTGGGTCTCCATTCAAAGTTCCAAGATAAGTAGACTACCCCTCCCTGGTCAGACCTACTGGCTTACCGCACCACTACGCCCATCCTGCACCCCTACAGGACCAGCGGATCAGCCCCCCGAGGGGTAATGGGCTGCTGGCCTTTTTTGCCAAGCCACCCCAGTCAGGGTTTTCGCAACAAGGATCGTGGCCTTCCTGTGCAAGGATAACGTTGTGAACGGGTAATATACCCTACTTCTCCGTAGCAACCGAGGTACCCTACCTAATCTACTCCCCAAGAGATTTCAAAGGTATGGAACATCGGTTCATTATCGAAAATTCACGCACTACAAGAATACACTACTAAGATCAATATAGGCAGGACTAAGTGACATAAGGCTGTATACCATGAGGGAAAGCCAAGCAATCTCCAACAATAGATCACTAGGAAGAGGATTACACAATCCAGCCGTGCTTCTCTTGTTCCGACATGTTCGCATTCCCTTGCAATATGATCTCGCTTTCTACAGAAGAAACAACTACGCGGCTTTGTCGTCTTTTGGCTTTCCTTGTAGGAGCTCATTTTCTCCTTGGGGGACTGTGTTGTGGGCATATGTTGTTTCCTCCTTTTGCTGCTCCGATTGACAATCTTGAGTTCCATCGCAGTGCTACCTTTTGCAACAGCTAACAGTGTGATAGTGTCCCCTCTGCTATCCGATGAGTCTTGCTCTTTCTTTCGTAGCACCTGTCGTTGTACGTCCTCTGTGAGTTTACGAGGAGCTGCTTCTGTATAAATATATTGTCCACATTCTTGCCCTTCAAATAAAGCTGAGCAACAATTGAAGAGAGTTGCTCACACAGGTTCTGGTCTTCTAGGCGGTAGCTCTCTGCTCGTAGACCTTGTAGCCGCTGTGCCATCTGATCGAACAACACTCGACTGTCACCGTACCTTCGTTTCAGATGCTCAACAACAAGCAGATACGTTCCTGATAGATTTGGTACTGTTTCACTGTTTCTCTCTTTTCCCTTTGGAGCGATCCAGGAGATAATTGAACATGTACACGTCGTCCAGCTGGCATGAGTGCACGGAATGTTCGAAAGCTCTCCAGAACGTATCCCATTTTAAATATGTGCGCTGAACTTCGGAATAGGAATGGGTGCCAGGTTCATTGGTGGAACGTCAGGAAATCTGTTGGGAATCGCATCCATATGCCCCTTTGCGTCATTGTCGAGTTCTTTGAAAAACATTTCAGTCGTCGTCAATGTCGAACACGTCGTGTTCATGTGCTGCGCCGTTGTCTCTATGTTGGAGTTTACCTACTGGAGTATATCGGCCAGTGACGGAGTTTGCGGATCCAGTTCATCAGCAGTAGAACTGTAATGGTCTAGCGCACGCGCGACGTTGGAAACTTCTACCTCCAAAAGGTTCTTCCACTTGTACAACCCCGCTCGTTTCGTTGCCACATATACCCTTCTCCTTTCATCCTTTAGTGGTGGTTCCAGAACCATCTTTTCCAAGTTTTCACACTTTTTCAAGTTAGCTGTTAGTCACTTGACTGCACGCGTTAGTGCTGCCTGGCGCGTTGTCAGAGCGATCGCCAGGTTAGTCGTGCAGAATCCTGTTCAGTAGTGCGAACGACGCGGACGTGTTAGGCAACAGACACACTTTCAGCAATTCCTCTTCTTCATGTCCGACCAGACTGGCGTTCAGAGCTCTGCGTGTTCGTCGTCAACAGCTTCGATCCTTCAGTCTAGTCCAGATCCTGCGGCTTCGTCCTCGGTCCGTGGTTCTTTGAGTCGCCGATGCATCATAAGCCGTTGGGGTTCTCTCGTTGTTGCCACGCGGGTCTTGGGTTGGTAGGTACCTCAAGCTTAGCTAATCAAACCTTTATTATATACTTTACTCCATATATAATATTCTCACAATAGAAGAAAGAAAAGCGATTGAATCTATGGAAATCCGTCGTGCTTATATTTGGTGGATGATGGGCGGAGCAAGCTATATTTATAGCTTTGCTTCCTTCTGCAGCTACATTCCTCAGTACTACTCAGCCAGCAGATATGATTTCTGCAGTTTACAGAATGAATTGCAGCACAAAGTACATAAAGTCACCATTATGTAAGGGATCGGCCGTGATAATAGGGTACAATCACCCAAAAATAATCTAAGATCATAGAGAGTCGTCTCTATAAAAAATACCAATACGCAAAAGAGTAAACGCGATTATATATATATATATATATATATATATATATATATATATATATATAATAGCGTTCATTGAGTAGGAGAGCTACACAATGACGTTTGTTGCTATGCGATCGAAAGACCGCCTCACGATACCACCCCCGCTGTAGAGGATTTTTGCTGCTTGCTTAATGCAATCTTGCAATCTTTATAATCTTAGCTTACTGCACTACAATCACGAGCAATCTGCAGAACCACTGAACTACGTTTCGAGAAGTAAGGTCGTTTCGAGAAGCACATTGTTCTGGTTCATCGGCCCGTACCAATCATACGAGGAGCCCGTTTGCTATTTTCTGCTTCGTAGCCAGAATATCCAACCAGGCAAGTGGCCAGGTGTGCTGAATCGCCACATCACTGATAGTCTAATACGGACGCACCTTCTCGCGAAAACTTAGGCGAAAGCAAGGTTCAGAAATTGCCACTGTATCTTGATAAGTTTAGTCGCAAGCGCGTGACTGCGAGCTCGAAGGCTCAAGTGAATACATTCGCACTTTCGCAAACGACCCGCAGTATTTTCAAAACACGGAAAAAAAGTGCGACCTTTCGTTGGCAAACAACAGCTGCGATCGAAAGCGCGATTTTCTTGATCATACTTCGCAATGAACTCCAAGCAATACTTGACCAAATACAAAGGGAATACGTTGACACAAAAAACAAGAAAAAGGAGTTTCTCAAGAAATTCCATGCTTTTGAAGCCGAAATTCAGCATGATGCCGTTTTGTTAGAATCANCGAAGGCTCAAGTGAATACATTCGCACTTTCGCAAACGACCCGCAGTATTTTCAAAACACGGAAAAAAGTGCGACCTTTCGTTGGCAAACAGCTGCGATCGAAAGCGCGATTTTCTTGATCATACTTCGCAATGAACTCCAAGCAATACTTGACCAAATACAAAGGGAATACGTTGACACAAAAAACCAAGAAAAAGGAGTTTCTCAAGAAATTCCATGCTTTTGAAGCCGAAATTCAGCATGATGCCGTTTTGTTAGAATCAGCAGATTTGCTCACAGCGTTGAAAACTCGACTTCGAGAAATACGGCACGATTTGCTCCCGATAAGAAATGATGGAAATACAGCACGAAATCGATAAAAATGGAAGAGAGGATGGGTGTCAGCAGAAATTATCAGTCTCAGCATCTGTGCCCGACGCTGAAAACAACAACGAGCAAAATCTCGAAGAAAGCTCGCATCAGTCGCAGCGAAAACATAACGGGCCAGCTATAGCAGCGTCATAGCGGGAATTTGAATGCAAAGTATGCTAGCATAACGTGCGACTCAATCAAACCACCACAGATAGCGCCCCCGATTTTCAGGGAACTTTTTGCTGAAAAATTTCGAAGAATACTGGGCTATGTACGACACTTTGGTTTACAGCAAACAATCGCTGAATACCATGGAAAGAATAATGCTCCCGAAAGAAAGCTCAAGTGGTAAAGCAGCTGCAACCACAAAAGGGATAAAGATCATGCCCGAAAACTATCACTGGATGATAGAAATATTAAAAAAAGAAATGCGACAACATTTCCGCTATACGCGCCAATGTCATTTGGAAGTTGAACGCCCTTCCACAGGTACGGGAATCACGGTTTTGCGAAACGGTTTCCGACAAGGTAACTAAGATCCCCTGTGAATGAAATGACCGCACTAGGGAATCCGATTGCTGAAACCGAAGATCCCATGTGGATCGAAACCATGCTCAAGAAACTACCTCGACATATAGTTGAGGGCTCTTGAGAGAGAGCAATGGTGAAGAATCTTACCCAGTCGGTACCTACAGCGCTACAGTCGCTACCTACCCGATGAGAGACGAGTGCCGACTAACTATGGCGTTTGAAGGATTGCGCAGAACGCGCACATCGGCGACGCATTGTGGCAGCGAGAAAAGATGGGACGGAGCGCGCTCGCCCGCACCTGGCGGTTGCCGTCACATCTTCAACATCTCTAATATTCTGCAATGGAAATTTAAATTGCGATATTTGGTGGTTGCACTTTGAGTAAGTTTCCTCGTGATGCAGATGGACACCTTATAGCATGTAGCAAGCACTAAAAGGAAGTAAGATGAAGCGGAATGCGACCAAGAGCGGTGGCGATGTGGTGGGTGCAACGTTCATTTGATGATTAGTTCCGAAAGCAGTTCAGATAAAGGGCCAATTTTCAAGCACGACTTGGCAGTGGACATTCCCGAGTTGGAGCCGGGAGCGATAACTGCTGGAGACCTGATTCTGGAAATGAAATGCTGGAAGGGAACTGTTGGCTTGCACTGCGTCCGTGGTTACAGATTAGTTCGGTCGAGGTAGCTGTAGTCGATTATCTGGCAGATAAGTTGACGGTCCAACAGGCAGGTGGACGAAGTTTTCCGTCCATCATATGTATAGGTAGAATGGCGTGGACAGTTGGCAAGATCTACATCAAAGGCTTAGTGCGCTAACTTATTGTTATGAGTTCAACAGGATTTTGATAAGGAAGGTAAACGAAGCAACAGAATGTCATTAATTGTTTCGCCTCCCTAGGAGAAATAGTCTTCAAGATAGTCCTGCGGATCAGTTGCTAGTCTCTTCGTTCTTCGTAGGCGATCAGATCGTTCATCAGAGCTTAAAAGACATTGAGCCGTTGAAGTTAAAAGAGAGAGTTGAGGTGAAACGACTGAAAGAATGAAGGACTGATTAGCTGAAGGACTGAAGGATTGATCGCCTGGATAATTGAAGGACTGAAGGACTGAAAAGACTGACGAAGTGAAAGGGTGAAAGATGAAAATCTTAAGAAACCAGTGCTCAAACCCAGGGAGCTATACCGACTTCGGTGGTCTTTGCCGGTGATTTGTACTCGCTTGCAGACTTTCTAGATTCCAACATTTTGCCTGAAATAGTAAGGAATATTAAAGAATTCCTCGTGCTTCCTCATTGAATGGCGTAGAGCTATTATATATAGACTCTCGCGAGTCGGCCTGCAATCAGTAGGGTCTCCTGTTTTAAACCCAAACTGCTGCCGCCCTTGCCGCGTCCCGTCGCTCGCAGTAGCGCGTTACGAAAAGGGGGATCAAAATTTTCAGTGAAAGGTTGTTGTGATGGCTGCGGAAACACTGCTGCTCACCGTGGGCATGAAAAATCGCCGTTCTATCAGTGCGCTACATCAGCTCATATGAATTTCTGCAAGTCTGTAAACATCCTATATGCTGTTGTGTGGGCCTGGAGGCCTGCAGCATTCTTAGAGCCTCGAACCCTTACTAGCCGGTTCTGAATTCGGATATTGAAGCGAACTCAAAACCGGTTCTGAATTTAGCAGTGAAGTGTGAAAAGGCGATTGCCCATTTCTTTTCACAGAATCCTTTTCCAGATATGGAAAAGTTTTTCATACGAGCTCCTTCGAATCTATCCAGGATATACGAACTACTGTGACACGGCAAGATCTATATTTGTCGATGCTTGCGAGAGTAATCCAAAGTTGAAAGTGTTTATAGAGGTCAGTTGTTTGTAGTGTTTTGGCACACATGATCAGGGCCAGTTGACTGGCCCACAAAAAGAAGTTTGCAAATGAACTACATAGTGTGGAGAAGAGCCAACGTTGCGACCACTTCTCGTGCTACTCTTTTCACTTTCTCTGCATCTATAAAGATGTAACAGCGAAGATCAGGAGTGGAAAAGAAGACCGAGAAGAGTCATGCAGAAGAAAAGTTTTACTGACCAGCCTGACAATTATCAAAGTATAAAAGACGTTATTCATTTGCACTAATACACACCATGTCTCGCTTTGAGAATAGTTATTATTCGAGTTGAACTCGTGAACTTATGCATGGTAAGTGGTCGATTGGCTTGCACTGCATAATCAACTAGCGATTTACCTCATATTGACTACTGGTTCTTCTACGCATAACAGGTGGTTGTGCAACATGCACTACCTTGTCTTTCAAGGCTAGTTTCCCTTTAGACTTTGTATGCCCTGATTCGGTGCGCCGAATTGCTTTTAAAGGCTAGTTTCCATCAAAGCTTCGTGCCCCGATTTAGCGTGCCAAATTGATAGAGAGAAGCGCTTTCTCATTCTCTGCGGTTCGTCTTTAATCAGGATACCAAGGCCTAGAAACTACTCTCTCTTCGTACAATGTATGAAACGTTCGCCATCAAAAAGAAGGTTTGTCGAACGATGGTTCGCAAAATCTAGGTTAGGTTAAAGTTGTTCAGAACTAATTGTTCAGAAAGATATTATATAGTAGTAATTCAGCAGATCGTGCATCACTGGTTGATTTTTCACAAGGGAAAATGGAGAATGCCTTGAACGCAGTTCGATGTCAAATTTTGTGAATTGACCTTTCGCAAGTCTGATGTTCAGCATAATCCATAACTACTATTCTTGGGGGAAGCATACCATTCCGTAGTTGAAGGAGATGCCTTCCGAAGCCTTCGACGACAGCGAATTGCAGTGATTTGAGAAACATGTACTTTCTAATCACTTTGCAGTCACTGGAAAGAGAACCTGAATTTCATCGACAACGAGTAGCCGACATTATGATGTTTCCAGTACAAAGACTAGCAGGAGTCAAACTTCTTCTCGAAAGTTAGTGTTCATCAAGATTTTTTCAAAATCTTTTCTTCCTCTCTTTAGAATTGATTCTGGGCTACAACGTTTCCGCTTTCAATGCGGCTTCTGCCTAGTCCTTGACCCCATCTTCCAGTTCGCTCTTGCTCTGTGATCAGAATTCAGTGCCTCTTTGGGGAGTCCCCCTCCCGGCCATCTCAGATCCGTGATGTTACGACCAGAGAAAGGGGAGTGTTTATTATTGTGTAAGTAACTTACATAAATAGATTGTTGATTCCTCACTGAACCACACTTTTTTGCTACGACCTCTAAGACGTGCCACCTCTACTTTTGTCATCGCTCTCCAGGTATAAGACCTTTTCGAGTTTTGAATGCTCGTACAGTAATGGCTTACAGCTGATTTTGAGCATTCTTCACCAATTTAGTCCTCTTCAAAATCTTTCAGAAGTTATTTTCCAGCGAAGTTTTTTGTTATTTCCCTACCCGTAACAAGTAGCAAACTGCTTTTCACTTCTTTTGTCACTTCATATGCGGTAAGCAAAGTATGGTGTACATGTTGCCGGTTCGGATCAAGAGTATATGTCCTTCAATAGGAAGATGGAGTGCTATTGAGAGACTCCAATCACCGAGCGATCTTCGAGTGCTAGTAGACGGTCGAAGCCCGAGGAGACTACCATGATGACCGCTTTTCTACAGGATTTACTTCTATGATGACGTAAAAATTGCAGTGCATCAAGAATCCCTTCTACTTCTTTGAAGATGACGCCGATAACACAGATGCCTCTCGTGTCTTTTCCTTGGCTGAGTTCTATAAGAAGAGCAGAAAACAGTCCTAGAAAATAGTCCCCCTTTTCATGAGCCATCAAATGTCTTTGGTGACCTGCCTGAATCATCGCTTCCCAGCCCAAAATCTCCATCTTGCCTATTGTTCAAAGACCTCATCCTTCATTAGCGCTATGACTGGCCCCTTTCTTCTGAGGACTGGCTCTTGCTTCGCTCTAAAGCCCCTCAAAAATTTCCTCAAACACATCTGACTGTGAATGTCTCTCCCAGTTTTCGATTTAAATGCTTTTCGTGAAAAGAGAAACTGAAAATGTTTCAGAGTTGCAAAGGAAGTCAAAGGGAGGGCAAAGTGCTGAGATTCAAAGAGCGATTGATAAGGTTGGAGATGTGCTCAGGTCAGTCCTTCTCTCCACAACAAATGTTGGCAAATCAGAGTTATTAGGCTCAAGCTTTTCGAAAAGTTGGGAGTATTTTCAAAAGCCTTCCATTCCAACCAACAGTAAAGCGATTCCATTTGGATTCGGAATCATTCTGCTATGTAAAAGCTCTGGTGGGGTTTGAGGAAAAAACCCAGAGATGATTGTCATTGGAAGTTTTACGAACTCTTCTCTTTTCCTAAATGTTTCAATGATTTAGTCAATCGAACACAGTGAGGTTGAACAGTGATAAATACATCGCTTCACTCAACTTACTAGCTCAAGTTGATTCAATACCGGTCAGTTTTACTGAACAGTACGATTCTGCTATCGATCCCTCTATCATATGACTTCATTTGTTCCAAATAGGTGAACCTTATCAGCAGCTCCAATGACGTGATCATTTCAATGGAAGGAAGGCTTGTGTGTGCATCGAATAGAGTTAACATCAAGGATAACAGAGAAATCAGTTTAGTGCTGTTCAGTAATGGGAGCGTGATGGTAAGTGGCGTTTCCCATCTTTGTGGAAAACACTATTTTTATGTAATTGGCTGACAAGCAAGGGGTACCACGTCGTAGTGTCCGTACAAGATGAGATGTGTACCGCCGTCTGTATCTTCAAATAAAGTCTCAAAGACGTCCTCCCTCCAAANAGAGAAAGGGGAGTGTTTATTATTGTGTAAGTAACTTATATAAATAGATTGTTGATTCCTCCATGCTCCTCTTACTTTCTATTATATTGCCTTGCTGCTTCTTCAGTGCAGCAACCCTACATACACCTAGATACTCACTTCACCCCCTTCATTCGATACATGCCCAAACTTTCGTAAACACTGCTTTCGTGCTCCAAGCTGAACCACACTTTTTTGCTACGACCTCTAAGACGTGCCACCTCTACT